AAAAAAAAAAAAACGAAAAAACAAAACAAAAAAAAGAAACCAACAACAGTAAGAAAAAAATCCCACTCAAATCTTTTCCACCTCAGAGGAGAAAGGAGTCCTCCTTCTCTCCCTGATCCTCCCCTGCCCCACCCTGACCGAGTTTTCTGTCTTATTTCTCCTGGGGGCTCCTGGTCCCCTTGGTTTTCTTCGTATCTTTGTGGCTCTTCCTGGACACACACATCCCCCTCCGGAGCCCGTTGTCCTCCTCCATCCCAGCAGCCCCTCTCTGCCCACTTCCGTAACAAGCCTGCTGGACACTGCCAGCCCCTCAGGCTGCCACGTGCATTCTTCTTCTTTCCTTATTGACACATTTCCTTCCTGAGCATCTGTTCCCAGCGTGCTGTTCCCTTTCTGTCCCCTCACAGCAGCCTGGTTCCCAGCCCCGGCATCCCTGTGGGCCATTTTGTCAAGGCTGCTCCTCATTCCTGACCTCCTGGTCACCTCAATGTGGGCAGTGTGGACTTGTGGTTGGGGATGTGATTCTAGCGCCGACTCGGGTTCAGGTCCTGACCCCAACGCTGCGTGGCTGTGTGGCTTTGGGCCAGTGTCCTCCTCCTTCAGAGTCACATTCCCTTCTTGACAGCCGGAGATGAGGACAGTGCCTCCCCACTGGACAGTCCTCGAGCAGGACCCCCGGGCACACTAGCCCGGAAGCCCTGTGGGTCCCCTTCACGCGGCCCTGCCTCGGACCTCGGCTTGCTGGCACTTGGCCTTGCACAGTCCTTTCTGCCTCTTGGTGTGTCTATGTCGCCCTCCTGACACTCAGGGAGGTTGGGGCTGTTTTTGCCCCCGCGGGTACAACCAAAGCTCAGGGAAGGTAGGGTCATCTCCCCCTAACATCCATCATGTCGGATGGAATTTTCTCAAGCACTGCTCTGGCTGTGTCTGGTCCCCACCAGAAGACCTCCCCCATGGCCTCCTCCTCCTCTTCCCCCCATCATGTCCAGTGCCTCAGCTCCAGCCACAGCATCCCCCTGGCCCCTCCTGTCTGGTCCACCCTGCCTCCCACCCTTGCAACAGCTCAAACCCACAATGTGCTCTGTTGGCTGCATCCTTTGTTCTCTCCACACCAGGTGCTGTCTGCCTAGTTGGCCCTGCGGGATTTGGAACTGCTGGCGTGTCCAAAGCCGTACACCGTTTAGCGTGGAGCCCTGGAGCTGCTCAGGGTTAGGCACAGAGGAGTCATGCTCAGAAGGACTTTCTGAGGCGTCTGGTGCTCTGTGCCCACGGCCAAGATCCTCTCAGGACTGAGGCACTCAGTCTCACAGCCACTGGGAAGAGTGGCCGCTGGTGGCTGTCAGCTGAGTCCCCTGCAGAAACTGCCCTCGGCCCACAGTCATGCTCCTCCTCTTGGTATCTTGGCACCTCCAGTGGCCTGGCAGGGCAGAGCTCCCTTGCCTCAAGGCAGGATGTCTCTGACCAGCCATCCCAGGAGCAGAGCTCTCCCAGGGACAGTGCCAAGTCTCTGTCGCAGCATCCTGTTTTCTTCACTCTCTCATGGGGAGGGTCCTATGGCTCCTGCCTGCACAGGACCAGCTTGAGTTTTCCAGAGAATCTGACCTAGGGGCTTGGTTCCAGAGTGGGTGGAGGAAGCAGACTCCACATTCCAGGAGGAAGAGCTGCTTCACATCACCACTGGCCTCAACGCTGGTGGTGGGTGGCGGGTTGACGCCCCTGGCATGCTGAAGTAGGCAAAATTGTTAGAACCTCCAAGGTTGGTGAATTAAAATGGGAAAACATGCAATGGGATGCCATAGCTCAGTCTTCTGAGAGGTCCTGGGGATGGATGTCAATAAAGCTTGGAGTTGGATGGGTGCTCCTGAAACCATCAGTTAGAGAAAGACAGTGAAAGGTTAAGCATAATTCACCACCAACCGCACTGCAGCACAGCGTTGGTCACAGGGCCTTCAGGCTGCAGCTAAAGAGACTATTTCCCGCTGCTGGAGGGCTACAAATGCTGAGAATCAAGCTCAGGGCATAGAGAGAATGATGAACTCTCAGTCCCGGTCAGTTTAGCTCCCTCTGTGGGGACAGAGGCTCCCTGAAGCTTGGAACAGGTCGTCTGAAGGGAAGCACCCAGGTGCCCACCCGCCACTGACTTGCAAGGCAATGGCCACTTTCGGGGCCAGCCCACCTCCTGGTCACACCCAAATTTGAGACAATACTTGGCTGGGGAGGTGTTGGGCTTGGTAAGAAAGGCCAGGGACTGAGTCCCGAAGAAGCTGCAGGACTTGGCCAAGGTGACTGGGAAGAGTGAGTGAGAGAGAGAGGTGTGTGTGTGCGCAGGATGTGCGTACACATCCTGAGGGTCCCAGGACAAGGTGGGAGGAGGCAGAATA